CTCTCATCTTTTTAAGTGGGAGAACTTGCACAATTGGTGGCTGACTAAATACTTTTTTGCCCCACTGTAGTTGTTGTAGTTCAGCTGTTTCCTCTTTCCAGGCAATAACCCAAATGCGGCCTTATTTGCTCAGAACTAATGTTGAAGAGGAACTAGCACGTGAAGGGAGAGCGCCAAAACTCACAGACTAATTTTGTCTCCTGGACACCAACAGGTGGATCACCATTTTCCCTTCCTGCTGCTTGACTGGCTTGTGCAAGAATAGATGCGTGTCCGTAGAGCTTCCTCCACAGGATAAAGAAGCAGACTCCCCTGTCCCCAGCTTTAATAGGCACACTAACATGGAGCTGAGGGCGGCAGTGAAGGGTGGGCAGATATGGTGGCATTCCGGCTTCTGGTCTAAGTCCTGCATATTTGAAAGCTCCCTCACAAATTCAGTACCCAAGAATATGATTTGGGTTTAGCATGAGGTAAAGCTGGACCTGGTTTGAGAATAAGGTGAATTATATTCATGGGGGGGGGAGGAGAGGAGGAGGAGGAGGAAGAAAGCTACACAACTAAGCCTAAGCTACAACTTTTGTCTCCTTCTGCCTTCTCCAACTTCTTGGCTTCCAGATGTCAAAATATTTCAATTCCTATACTAATTGGGAATGCTAGAAACTGTAGCCGCAGAATATTGTGCCACAGACTGGAGAAGGCTGATATTCAATGACTAACCCTCAGAAAGGGCAAGTTCTTTCCTTCTGATCATGGGCCTACAGCTTCTTCTAAACGATGCCTTCGTGTTGAACATCCATGCAGTGATGTTTGCTATGTACTATTTACCTAACCTGAAAAAGTTCCCCTTCTTTTTCATCCAGGTGCCATGATGCTGAGGACTGAAAGAACTAAACACCCAATACATTGTTACTTCAGAAAGGAGGACAAGAATAGCAGGACAGAAAGATTTTCAGTCTGTTTTCAACTGTTTCCTCTTGTAGTTTAACTTGTTTCCTCCTCCCATCCCCGGTAGTGAGAAGCCATTTTTTTCCTCCTTAGGAACCTTGAAGAGCCTAAAGATTGTTTCCATCCAGAACCAATTTTGTGCTGGATCACAGAACAGCATTCAATATAACTGGCACTTAAAAGCACCAGGCAGCATGTGCCTGGGCACGGCGCCACCAGGGGACCAGTGAATGATACACAGCCCATTGGTGCATCATTCAGTGACTCCAAGAGCTACAGCCAAATGTCTTTGTATCATTATTATTAAGGAAGCAAGGTGATTTCTTATTAAATTTCTGTATATATTTCTGTGAAGGTTTTTGCTTTATGTGAGATCTTACCTTTATTTGTAACGATAGCTGTCTTATACTAACTTTGTTTTCCAACATCCATCTGGCACACCCAGGCAACTTCTTATTGAAAAAAAGAGCCAATACAGGTAGTCCTCACTTAACAATGGCAATTGGGACTGGAATCTCCATCGCTAAGTGATGCGGTCATAAAGCGCAATGTCACATGACCGTGCCACTTAGCAACAGAAATTCCAGCACTTCCAGTTGCCATCATTAAACAAATCACTGTGGGTTGTTAAGGAAGGATGTCATGTGGTCGCCATTTGCAACCTCCTACCGGCTTCCCTACTGATTTTGCTTGTAGGAAACTGGCAGTGAAGGTCACAAATGGCAATCATATGACTGTGGGATGCTGTGATGTTGTAATTGTAAGCCAGTTGCCAAGTGCCCAGATCATGATCACATCACTGCGGGGGTGCTGTGACAGATGTAAATACAAGGACTGGTTGTAAGTACTACTTGTTCAGCCCCGTCATATGTTCGAAGAGTTGCTGAACGAGTGATTGTTAAACGAGGACCACCTGTATTATAAAGCATCAAGCTTCATACTAGCCTGCCGTAGTGGCCAACTTAGCTTGACCTTATGGGAGCTGAAGTCCAACACATTCAGAAGACACCAGTTGGGAAAGAGTGAAATTAGGAGTAATTTCTTTACATCATTGTCATCTATCACTGAGATAGACACATCCATGTCACTAGCTATATGTTACAGTAATGTGGCAAAATGGTGGATTTAAGCAAATACAGGGTCTTCTGCAGTTTTTGAAATAATGGCCCTTTCTACACAGGTGTATCTATTCCATCGCATCAAACCATGATATCAAATCATTCCATGGTAAGGAATATGTGAGTACATGCATGACAAACAAAATCATTTTTAAAAAGACATGCTCTCCCCCCCCCCGCCCCAAATACCAGGGCTGCTAAGGAGGCGGACCACATAAAAAATTAAAAAAAAATTATTTAACTGGCCCTTATTTATTTTTTATTTAACTGGCCTTGCAGCCCACAATATGCTTTGGACTGGGATGGAGGAGTGAACACAGAGTTTCAGTTTTCCTTTCATTCTGGCCTCCTTGCCCAAACGTTTCTCTGCCAAGCCCACCTCGTGTTGAGAACAAAAACAAAAAAGTCCTGTTTTTCCATGGGCTCCCCAATGGTCTGCCCGAGGTAGCCCCCTCATTTTATATCGAAATATGACCTGCTATGAAAGCGAAGGCAGCCTCCATTTATGAGTACATTTGATTCCCAAGAGTAGTTCCTTTCAATTGACACCTTGCTATTTTAGCTCTAGGGCATTCTGGGCAGCTGAAAAGCAGCACTGGGCAAGGGAAAGAACACTTGGGGGACTGGCAGGGCCCATAGCACATCCCTGTTCTACCCACAGCTGTCGTCCCGGAGCATCTGCAAATGCAGACTACAACCCACACTTCGGTTTTAGAGCATAATCAGCAGACTCTGGCCATTTGTTTAAAAACGGAACCGGCACTAAGGGCTCACCGTGACATGAACCCAGCCAGGCAACTTATTTTTTCCTGGGACGTCCTCAGGAGAGACGTCTTCTCTTCCTCAGGCAACAACTGAGGCACCTCAAAGTTGTCCAACGATTGACTGATTGCTTAGGTGCCATCAAGTCATTGTCAACTCTTAGCAACCACATTTTAAAGTCAAGTTTTCCTTCTCCCATCGCAGTGTCTGCTATGGATACAGTCTGGCAGGGTTCACTGACCGTGTGTTTGTTGACATGATCAGGAGTTGGCATCTGCCCAGTTCCTACTGACAACTTAGGCTGCTGCAGATGTGCTCCCTCCGCCTGGGTCTTTTGGCATTGCCCCCCAGGCTCTACTGACACAATGCCAGACTGATATTTTCCACAGGTCTTTCCATGGGCTGCTTAGAAAGTTTTGAAAAAGTGCCGGTCCTGTGCGGCACCAAGTCAACTCAAACTGGAACAGAAAGCTGGTTCTGCTAGCTGTGTTGCTACTTCTGTAGCCTAAGGAGTAGGTGATGTTACTTGTTTTTGGCTGCTGCTTCTGAGAAAAAAAAAAATCACCTCTCCATACCTTTTTACTTTTTTTTTTTTAATTTTTACTTCCTGAGGATTCCCAGAACATCCATCACACTGAGTGGGCAATGGTCCTAGAACAAGTCTCATGCAGCACTTTCAATGGCTATTTGTGTAATTTAGTTAAGTCCCCTTGGGGCACCATTTTAGCCACTCCAGTATAGCTTTCACAGCACTAGGTGCAGGATGATATTATTACAGGAGGGCCCATCACAATTGTGCCCAGGTTCTCCACAGCCATTCCCAGCATACTTCTGGGTGTTTCTGGCCACAAGGTCAGAACTGGACTTCTTGATCACTCACAGCATCACCTCTCCTTTGCAAGGAACAGAGCTTACTCATTACCAATCATGGCTTTGGAGGTGCTTCCTCCTCCTCCTTCACATTATCTCCTATATGCGTTATCAGTTGGACTGTTTCTGAACACGGATTTAGTGCTCTTTAGAAAGGCACTAGATCCATAGCCAACCAACAGGAAACAGGTAGAGGAGCAATTATGAGAAGCATCAAGAGAGCTGTCTCCTGCTTCACCCCATGCCTCCCCCATTCGTGCCTGCCATGTGTTAGCTGGTACCAGGCTCTTGGCAGCCCACTTCAACAGAAAGCAAGGATTTCTTTTAACAGAAAAGGGAATTGGATATGGTTGCAAAAATTTCAGCAACTGGATTGTTTTAATTTTAGAACCTAATTTATCTCCCAGCTAGTTAAGAGAAGACTTTTCTTTTACTGATAGCCTCTGTGTGAATGAGTAAGGAGGCTATTTTCTTAACTGATAAGTGAGCAATGCCCAGATGGGCAAAATGTGAATCTCTCTTTGGCTCTGAACATACCATTACAATTAATTTCTGACGATAGGGGCACCTTCGAAAGACCTTAGATAGTCAAAACCTAGACCTTTAGGAGTTTCAAGGTAAATATACCTTCAAGCGTGCCTGGTAAGCAAGCAACTGGCAACCAGTGCAGATCTTTCAGTACAAGCATCCTATCATACTACACCCACATCAATTCAGTGTTTCCCACCCCACCCCCCGTTGTCAATTGCTATCCCGCCCCAACTGCCTCTGTTCTGAATCACTGCTGAACGATGGTGTCCCAAGTATGTGGGCACAACATGTGATAGCGAAGCCGATCTGGTTGAGTCCTCTGGTTTTGCTGTCCTCTTTCTCATATCAGCAGCTAGCAGGAAAAGCATCTGTCAATTATGGCACTACTGAAGGAAGGGGTGGATCTGGCTGTCATCTCTAGATGCCTTCCTACACACCTCTACCTGCATCTCATTCTGTAGGAACTCAAGTAAATACAGTTTTTTTTTTAAAGAAAAAAACAAGTCAGAGTCATGGGAGTTCAGTCACAAGCATAACTTAGGATTTCTCTCATTTTCCTTTCCCAATATAAAAGCCCTAAATGCAAACTTGGGGGTGGCTCAGTTGGTTCAGTTATTCCATTGTTACACATTATTCAGCTTATATTAAACTGGTAGAAGTTAAAGTTTTTTCCATATGCTGCTGAGCAGCAGCAATGTTTATTGCCTACAATGCTTTCATAGAATATTCCCTATTCCCACGACAACCTCCAGACACCATTTAAAAATAAGCAAAAGATATTGGGAATTTGGGGGGGGGGAACAGTGCAGGGGATCCAGGCCTCTTTCCCAACTGACTTTGCACAGAGATTGACTTTAAACCCAAATCTATTTAATGGCAGTTAAATGTGGTGTATAGATGGAGGATTGCTGTATTTTTGTAAGAAATATATTCTGGAAATGGAACGGTTTGCACTTCCCATTTCTCCAAGTCATCCCAAATGAAATGGTCCTGTAAAATTACCTTGGAACTTTCTCAAGGAATCTTTCAATCCATCTCCTTTGGAGGCAAAGCACTGAAGGTTTATGGCATTTCATAAATCCTTTTAACTTACAGATTGAAAAGGTATTACACAGATGCAGTCGCCCAGAAATAGGTCTTAAAAGAACAATGTGACTCCTACATTGCCAGCCAGCTGCAAAAACACAGAACTGCTTTCCTCTGCGGTTCCATTTAAATTACTCTACTTTCTGTTACCCTTGGCATATATTAATATGGGTACAGGCATTTCTGCAAGCCGTTTCTGGCTGTTCTAAATATTCATGGTCTGCTGCATCAATTGCCCATAGATTACTTTTCATTCTTAGTTGAAAACTAAGAGTCGCAGAAAGAAATGTGAAGTTTCAAGCCCTCAGTGTGGCAGAGGTCCAGTTATGACATGAAAGCAAACAAACAACTTATTATCACTGATGCCAAGTTCCTGAACACTGCCTCCGCAGAGGAATTGTTTAATTACTTCTAAAGAATATGATTGCAAGGAAGCGTGAGGGAAAGCCAAAGACTTCAGGTCCCTGACTCAAAAATGCCACTTCTCTGATGGCCTCCTCCAGTCCTTCCAAGAACAGAATGGCCGCCAATACATTTCCTTGGCTGCTACACATGTTCCAAAAAAGGTCAGAAATGCTCCCTATGGTTGGTCTTCAGGACATAGCAAATATTACACATTGCCATTATGACATCTTCACCTGGGCCCTTAAGCATGAAATCTCCATGTGCAAGACAAGGAGTAGGCCTTCTTTACTTTCTTTTATGGAGTACAATACAAAAAGACTGAAAGGGAAAAGTATTTTAAAAAGTATTTCAACAGCTTACATATATCCATTGCTGCTAACAAGATACTGTTTGTTGCACCTTGGAAGCACTGCTGTTTGCAGACCACATTAGACTTCTGTCCTGGATTGCAGATGTGCTGAACATACAAAGATGTCTTCAGAGCTGGATGATTTATGGAGAAAAACAGCTCAGTGCCAATCTTAAGAGGACAAGACTAA